GGGCGCCCTGCGCGCGGGGGGCGCGTCACGGACGAGGGAGCCGCCGCGGGGGTGGAACCGCGCGTCGCAGGCTGTGCTTTCTAACGACGGCGGGGGTGAGTGCAGGTAGTGAGGCTCCGAGGAGTGAAAGCAGGCTCCCGCAGTCTTTTTTTTTAAATTCCCACCCGAGGATATCTTCTCCCCTGCTTTCCAGGGAGGAAGGAAGGGGAGAGAGAAACGTCCATGTGAGACACACATCCACCGGCTGCCTCCCGCGCATGCCTCAGTCAGTGGGCACCAGGGATGAACCTGCAACCCAGGTGCATGTCCTTGACCGGGAAGCCAACCTGTGACCCTTTGGTGGGTGGGCCAGCGCTCTAACCACTGAGCACACTGGCCGGGGCTCCCCTGCAGCCTCGCGCCTGCCTGCCTGCCAGTGCCGGCGGCCCCACACGCACCCAGTTCTGGACCCCAGATGCAGGCCCGAGGTCTCAGTCTCTAGGTGAGATTATCAGGAGGGCCAGGGACCCCCAGGTGCCACGGGGATGGGAGGGCAGTGTCCCTGCCACCTGGGTAAGGCAGGCCGGACCCTGAGGGCTCAGAGTGAGGCCTCCTGAAACGCTCTCATTCCACCTTGGAAGGAAGCAGCCTTCTCCCAGGCCTGTCCTAAGTGATCTGCCCTGGCCTGAGTCAGTACTTACTGAGCACCTACTGTATACGTGGCCAGAGAGGCTTGCCTGGCACCGTCTCCCCCTCAGGAGACCCAACCCAGACCTAGATCAGAGTGGCTAGGGAGAGGCTGTGGCACCAGGTGGGTACAGATCCCCAAAAAATCTCTCCTCCAGGGGTTCCCACTCCCCAAAGTCCAGGGGCAAGTGGTTTGGCCTGCTCTGTGCCTCAGTTTCCTTGTCTGTCAAATGGGGATGATACAGGCCTCCCTCCAGGGGCTGTTGTGAAGGTGAAGGGGGTTGGGAAACAGAATGCCCTTGTACAAAGCATCAGTCGTTACTCAATAAAGCTTGTGGCCATCAACTAGCTAATTAATTTATTAATTGTAATGCACTGATTAGTATATCGCATCAAATTCCGAAAGGCCTTCGGCTATGGGGATTGTTTTAATTATATATATTTTTTTACTTTTGTAGTTCTTGGGAATTAGCCAATGAATTAAAATCTGGGCTCTGCACTGGCCCTGACTCCCCCTCACCCCACCCCCCACTCCCTCAGCAAGGACCCGCTCGCCTTGAACATCTCACCCAGTCTAACTTTTATTTATTACCAAGTCTCCAAGGTCCAAATGTGCGTGCGTGGTGCTTGCCCAAGACAGCCCCAAGGCTGCGGCAGGAGGGCCCTCATGTCACACCACGCTGTCACCTGATGAGAGGGAGAGGCGGTGGAGAAAGGATGGTCGACACATGACCACCCGTGACCTCCCTCCATGAGGGGGGGCACTTCCAACGAAGGGGGGGGCGGCCTAAGAAGGGGAAGACTGCGTCATGTTCTAGAGAGAGGCCTTGCCCGGAGGAGGAGAGGCCAGGATGCAGGAGAGAGAGATGAATACAGTATAATAGTCTCCACCCTGACGTCAGAGGGACCCCACAAGAGCCGCATCGGGTGGCAGTCTTCCTGGGCTCAAAACCCTCGCGTGACAGGGTTTTGCCTGGCCTGTCCCAGAGAGAGTGCAGGCAATGGTGTGCAGAAATTGGAACCCTCCTGCCCTGGCTAGTTTGGCTCAGTGGTTAGAGTGTCGGCCTGTGGACTAAAGTGTCCCGGGTTCAATGCTGACTAAATGCATGTACCTCAGTTGCAGGCCTGATCCCCAGCCCCGGTCAGGGCTCATGCAGGAGGCAGCCAATTGATATGTGTCTCTTTCACATTGATGTTTTTCCCTCTCTCTCTCTTTCTCTCACTCACTATCTCTGAAAAACAATGAAAATAATAGTAATAATAGAAATTGGAACCCTCCTACATACACAGCTGGCAGCGTACCAAGGGGTGCAGCTGCTGTGGGAAACAGCCCCTCAACAGGCCAAGCCCAGACTTCCCACACCTAGGTCTGTACTAGAGAAATGGAAACTATGTCCACACAAAAATGTGCTCACGAATGCTTGTCACAGCACTATTCACAGCACTGTTCACGGCAGCCAAAAGGTCTGAGCCGCCCAACTGTCCTTCAGTGGATGAAGAGATAAGTGAAACGGAACAGGACACAGTGGAATATTACTCAGCCATGAACAGGAATGAAGCGCTGACACATGCTAGGATGCAGATGAACCTTGAGGACGTGATGCTGGGTGAGAGGAGCCAGTCACAAAAGGCCACATCGTGTGTGATTCCATTGATAGGAAATGTCCAGAACAGGCAAATCCATAGTGACAGGAAGCAGCCAATCAGTGTTTGCCGAGGCTGGGGGGGAGAGGGGAGAGGGAATCAGGAGCGACTGCTAAGGGGTATGAGGCATCTTTGGGCTGATGAGAATGCCCTTAAGCAGGTTGTGGTGATGGCTGCACAACTCTGTAAATAGACTAAAATCCACCAAATTGTACACTTTAAATGAGTGAACAGCCCTGGCCAGTTTGGCTCAGTGGTTGGAGCATCGGCCCCGTGGACTGAAGGGTCCTGGGTTTAATTCCCGGCCAAGGGCACCTACCTCGGTTGCAGGCTCCATCCCCGGCCCTGGTCCATACGAAATCGGGAGGCAATCAATGGATGTGTCTCTCACATCGATGTTTCTCTCCCATCCTCCTTCCCCTCTCTCTGAAAAGTGATGGAAAAAATACCCTCGGGTGAGGATTTAAATAAATAAATGAGCAAATTGTGTGCTACATGAATTGTATGTCAATAAAAATATTATTTAAAAAAAACAAACACCAAAACAATGCTTTCCCATGGCTCCTACCTTGGAGTAAAAGCTGAAGTCCTGCCCGGCGGGGCGGGGCTCAGCGGTTGAGCGTTGACCTAGGATCCAGGCAATTGGGGTTCGATTCCCAGTCGGGGCACATGCCCGGGTTGCGGGCTTGAAAAATGACTCTCTCATCACTGATGTTTCTGTCTCTCTCTCTCCCTCTCCTTTCCTCTCTCTGAAATCAATAAAGATATATTTAAAAAAAAAAAAAAAAAAGCCAAAGTCCTCACCACCCCCCAGAAGGTCACCCTCATCTCCCTGACCTCCTCCTGGGTGTTCCTCACCAGCCACCTTGCCCCTGCCTCAGGGCCTTTGCACTTGCTGGTCCCTCTGCTGGACACTCTTCTCTCCAACCTCCATGTGCTCCCCCTTCCTTCAAGTCCTCACTCAAATGTCATCTCTCTGCAGGGACTTCCTTCCTCTCTACCCTCTTTAAGTTACAACCACACCCCACAAGGCTCTCTAGTTCCTTTTCCTGCCTTATTTTCCCCCCACAGCAGTTATCACCACCCAACACACCCCCTAGCACACATCTTTTCTTATTGGCTCCCTTCCGCTGGAGAATGAAAAAACTTCATGAGACCAGACACCTGTCTGTTTGGTCCATTGCTGCGTCCCCAACTCCCAGAACAGTGCCTGGCGCACAGTAGGTCCTTAATCGATAGGTATTGTTGAACATCAGCTGCCAGAGCCCAGCGGTTACGAACTGGCATCCCCTGACAGGCTGCTTAGCTGGGTAGCCTTGGGTAAGTTGCTTGATCACTCTGGGCCCCAGCTTCCTTATCGAGGCAGCTGGCGTCAGG